AAAGTTTTAAAGCAGACCCTCACGCTGTGAGCACTTGAAGTGTTAGGGATGACTTTTAGCTACTACCACTTTATTTTAGCTCATTATCTGTAAAAATAACTGAGTTTTAGTCTTTTTTGTGTCAGCTGACTGTGATTAGCTGAGGCAGCCGCACACGTTGACTCAAGTTAATCAGCTGTAGACGATCATTTGATAATTTTCTTAGTTCGATCAAAAGTTATTTTCAAGGTTCATGAGATATTTTGCTAACAGACAGATAAACAAGGTTGACTTCAACAGCTAGTGCAAAAGTTTTAAACAAAGACCACATGCGTTATGTAGAGCTTGGGGCATGTTTCGTAGATGAATTTCAGACACAACCACCAGAAATCTCAACTCGGTGTCGATCAGATCCAAAGCTGTAGCCACTTCTGGGTTTGATCAGCTGTGGCAGCCATCTTTAATCAGTCTGACCCAAAAAACGAGTTGCAGGTGCCATTCTGCGGTTCACAACATACTTTTGTAACAAATAGACAAATTGTACCTGTTTATCACCTTCTTTTCATTTGAGTGAGTGACAGTAATACAACTCAGCTTTAGTCTGAGGGATATAGAAGAGGGTTTGGGTCACAGTGAAAAAGAAATAGTTGTCAGAAATTTTGCTTTAACCTCAGAATTCAGATTAAATACTGGATTCTAACCTCTCACCCCCCCTCCCCCCCAGAATCTGACTTTTGGGAAGAAAAAAAAAATCCCAATTTATACAGATGAGTCTCATTGAACATCGAGGACTCATTTACAGGAGGGACCTGTTTTTAACAAAGAATGAAGACAACAGTAGACAACAAATACAATCTTAAAAGAAAGCATATGAATTGAAAAATAAATGGAAGAAAATTATATTAAAAACAAAACAAAAACAGCTACATTATAAAGCGATATAAAAAACTAAAAACAGGAACATGTCTGCATTGGTTTTTCCAGGAACTTAATGTTTGAAGCCACTTAGAGAGGTCAAAGGTCGAGAGCTTCACATCTTTTTGTAAGATATTCCAGGAAACAGGAGCGGAACAGGAGAAGGTCCTTTTGTCTAGTTCAGTCCTCACTGAGGGAACACTGCAGGTAATGATGTCCTGAGAGCGCACGCTGTAGCTGCACTCACAAAGTGACATGTAGGAGGATAGATAGGAAATATATATATATAGCACAATAATATAACAAAATAATATAGGTAATAGATCTGGAGGGAGCCATCAAACTAAGTTTTAATCACAAAAAATGTAACAATTTACTACCAGGAACCATTTTTGTTCCCATAAGGACGATAGTCCTCGAAACGTAGGTCTGTAGATTTATGTCCCCACGGTGTATGTCAAACAAGAACACACACACACACAGATTAAATATCCTGAATGTCAGAAACAAGTTTCAGCATTTCAAGTTGTTTTCCCCTGGACAACAGAAACATCCATAAACCCCCATTCCCCCCCCCCCCCCCGCCCCGCGCGCCCCCCGACCCACTCTGAGGGCAGTGATGGCGAGCTGCCACATTCCTCACCGCCGGGGAAACAACGAATCACATCACAGGAAGTCAGGGAGGAAGAAGCTGGCTAATGCTTTCCTGTTAAACACACACACACACACATGCACGCACGCACGCACGCACACAAACACACGCACACACACGCACGCACACACACACTTACAAACACTAAAACGCACTCTGAACCAGTCCAAACCATAATTACAGGCTGCAGATGTTCAGAAGTTAAAGCTTCACTGCAGCAGAACTGGGACTGAACCCAGAACCAGAACAGAAATGTAAAATAAATGGGACAGCGAGTGCAAGACAACCCAAAATTCATTCTGCTAAATGTTTTACTCCAAGTCTCAGACCAGAACCGACACCAGTCCTCCACTGGTTTCCGTGCACTTCGAGCTTTTTTCTTCCCGGGAGTTGTTCTGCTGCTCAGGACCCGTTTCCCTCCAGCCGTCGTCATGGTGACGCTCAGTTATGCAGAGCTTGAATACAGTCAGCAGCTCCGAGGAAAGAGGCCTTTGTTACCCACAAGCCTCCATCCCCCCCCCCCCCCCCATCCCCCAACTCTTTCTGTTCGTTTCAGCTTCGTTCTCAACAAACCAGAGAACCGGTACCGTGTCCGACCCCAACCTGGGCCCAGTACAGTCCCAGCCCAGTTCTAGAACAGACCCGGTAAAGTTATAAGATGGATGAAACACAGGGAGCACCTGAGAAGGTATAATTAAAGTATAATTAAATTATAATTAATATATAATAATTATAACAAACTACTTTAGAGTGAATGCTGCAATGATACCGAACATAAAAGGTAAATCTTTATATATTTTATATTTTCAAACTGGTTCTGTTCCCAGATGTACTGAAGAAACCCAGTTTGGCTGCAACTCAGAGCACAAGTTTTCAGTTGATCCAAAGTTCTGCTGCTGGAGTTCTGATGAGGAGGAGAGATCATATTTCTCCAGTTTGAGCTTCTCTTCGATGGCTTCCTGTCAGAGTTTAAAATCTGACTTCTAACCTACAAAGCCCTCAACAACCTAGCTCCATCTTATATTACAGATCTTATTGTTCCATATTTTCCTAACAGTGCACTTTGATCTCAGGCTGCAGGTTTACTTGTGGTTCCTAGAGTTTCCAAAAGCAGAATGGGAGGAAGATCTTTCAGTTCTCAGGCTCCTCTCTTGTGGAACCAACTTCCAGTTTCGGTCCATGAGGCTGACACATTGTCCAGTTTGAACACTGGGCTTAAGACTTTACTTTTTCATAAATCCTATAGTTAGGGGCGGCTTGGTTTCCTGAGATATCCTTTACTTATGCTGCTATAGGCTTAGACTGCTGGAGGACAAATTGTCCACAATCCTCTCTCTGCTGCTGCTTTACTTGCTCCACTCTTCCTGTTTGTATTTGTAATTACTTCTACACTCAACATGTATTTTTTCTTTCCTTTAATAGAAACTAAACCTGGACTATAGAAACCATACCTGGACCATATAAACTAAACCTGGACCATATAAACTAAACCTGGACCATATAAACTACACCTGGACTATAGAAACTAAACCTGGATCATAAAAACTAAACCTGGACTATAGAAACTAAACCTGGACTATAGAAACTAAACCTGGATCATAAAAACTAAACCTGGACCAAAGAAACTAAACCTGGACAATAGAAATCACACCTGGACCATAGAAACTAAACCTGGACCATAGAAACTACACCTGGACTATAGAAACTGAACCTGGACCATAAAAACTAAACCTGGACCATAGAAACTAAACCTGGACCATAGAAACTAAACCTGGACAATAGAAATCACACCTGGACCATAGAAACTAAACCTGGACCATAGAAATCACACCTGG